GTTAAAGCTTACTACGAGTACATGACTTGCTTACAGGACATTTGACCCTCGAGAGGGTATCAATCATAAATGTAACTTAAGAACAAGTGGCTTGTGATTAATCGACAATCTAAAAGGATACTCAAGTAGACGTTGATTAACGATATTACGTTAGATTAATTAACTTTAGAGAATTCACAATTATAAAATACTTTCATCATCATCTCCCATGCCTTATCCTACTCCCGTAGGGTCGGCGCACCGGGTTTTCGTCCTCCAAAGCATTCTATCATCCGTCATCACAGTCATCACTCCCTTCTTTATCATGTCACCTTTCACGCAATCCATCCATCTCTTTCTAGGTCTACCTCTACCGATGTACCCCTCCACATTCATAACTAATATCCTTCTTGTCACATGCGATTCATCCCTTCTCATAACATGCCCATACCACTCTAACCTTTTACTCCTTATTTTCTCAACCACTGGGGCTACTCTCAAACTTCCTCTAATATACTCATTTCGTATCTTATCCTTTCAGTATCCTTATAAAATACTTTCAGTTAAAGGTGAAATTATTTAAAGTATTTTATTAAATAACTAGCTTCTGCCCGCGAATCCGTCCGCGCGGATTGAAAAAATAATAGCTTATATATTCTTTCAGGCTATATTCTACATCTACGTCAAAGTTCAGCGAGATGCGTTTCGATCTTGAAATACAGTAACAAACATCCATCCAACGAAACGGGTTTTCCAAGATATTTTTGGTTCGAAATTGGTTCAATTTGATTGTAGACGTATCTGAGTGCGCGATAGTGCACCCGGCGAAGCGAGCACGGCCAAGCACTTTTTCAAAGCAGCAGAAATTTTGGCACCCTTATAAATTCATCGTGGATACATAGTAGTTCGTACTTGGTATTCGAAATCTCTTCAATGAATGGCTTTAATAAATCTTTTCCGCACAATCGGCTTCGTATCTGTAACACGACGTTTTTATTATTTTCCGATTAGATTTCCTCGTAAGATTTATTCTTGAATATTCATTTTTACTTTTCTTTTCTTTCAGTTGTAATCTTAGCGTAGATTTTATAATGCTACGATTTCGAATCGAATTTGTATGAATTTTTGATAATTGTAAGAATGTTTTGCGTTTTATAGTATTTAGGTTGTTGCCAATAACTTCTGAGATAGCAAAAGAAATACAGACAAAACAAAACATCTACCGAAGATGACCTCAAGAAAAGAGGTAGACCAGTATGGACCTGTTTAGCAATAGACAGGAATGAGGTGTCTAGAGGTGGTCTTTGTCGGCAGACAAGCTTTTCAACACAAACAACCAGTTGCCGATAATTCAAACGAAAATAAGATTGAATTACGACAGTGTTTAGTATTTAGACATATATTTATTATAAATTGAAATGCAATAAAGGTTTTTTGTTTTGTTTTCTTTATTTATTCTTGTCAATAACTTCTATTCTTCCATGGAATGTTTTAATGAAGTGGGATATTTTTTAATTTCTACTTCACACGATATTCGGGTGTTTTTTTTTTTATTTTAAATCTGTATCATTCTGATTTAGTGTATATTAAAAACAATTTTAGAACTGTAACGCACAAAACAGTTTCACGAGCATGAGAAAGTTCGCCGGTCGCTGAGTGAAATTAATTTTAGGGAACAAAACGTTCGAAACAGCGTTTGTAAACTTTTTTAATCTCACAGGAACGATTAAATTTTCGTGGTTATTGTTTTCATCACGTTGTACATTCTAACCTTAAGTTCCCACTTCCGAAACATGCAGAAACATGCTTTTCGCTAGTTTCCATATTCTTATTTTCACTACTATAAATGCAAAAGTTTAGATGGATGTTTGTTAGAGTCTGCCGCCTAAAAGACTAAACGGATCTCGATGAAATTTGGCTTAGATGTATAGCATAGTCTGGATAAATACATAGGCTACTTACTTTCGTTTTTATTTAATTTTTCGCGGGCGAAATTGCTAACAATAGATAACATACTTCATACTTATATTATAAATGCGAAAGTTTAGATGGATGGATGGATGTTTGTTAGAGTTTATAGCCTAAACAACTGAACGGATTTTTATGAAATTTGGTATACATGTAGAGGATAGTCTGGAAGAACACATAGGCTACTCACTTTTTTTTAAAACCCACGCGAACGGAGTCGCGAGCGTAAGCTAGTTCAAAAATAAAACACAAATTGCATTCATATTTTTATTTTCACAAGATCAAGAACATCAACAAATATCTTAAAAATTACAATAACGAAGGTCTAAGTTAACAGCTGGGTCTAGAGCTGCGCCTTTCATATTTACAAAGTTAAGCTCTTTGGCCTGTACAAAAAATATACACAAAAAAAAACAATTAAAAGACGATGTAAAATAAACTTGCGAACCAAAATCTAAGGTAACGTAATTAAAATTATTAATAAAATTTCAACAAACTATTTAAAAATAGTTAAAAAATACAATATTCGGAAGTACGTGCATCTTGAATAAAGATAGTGCAATATTTATAAATATATTCCAATACTGTGATCGGTTTTATTACTTAAAATTTACAAAAACATTTCTCTCTTAAAAAAAAAAACTTACAAAACACAATTCAAATATAAAAACAAATACCGTATTTAATTACAAATCAATTTACAAATCTCGATCTAAAATAATTTACAATAAAACTTTTTAATGTCAAGAATTAAAATTTATAGAAATTATTTTCAACTTTTCAAAACTGATAATTTCAACAAACTAACTAAATGCACTTCACTAAAATTTAAGACTAAACTACTTTCGAAATTACCCTAAAGGTGATGCCACACGAGCGATGCAGACTCGCAAAGTTGCTTACTATTTTCAAACCTAAAAATCCACATTTTTCATCCTTTTTAAATCACTTCGATCGAAAAGAGACCACAATAAAAATAACTCAACATATATGTTTTTTTGTAAAATCGCTTGAAAATCGTTTGAAGTTTGACTTGTTTACAGAATTTGAAATGATGAAGACATTGTCCTGTTTTATTTTCATTCTATTGTGACGTGAGTTGAATTAATCGTATTCTTCTTAAATTTTGAGTTAATTCCTCTTATTTATAAAGTTGCGAATATATTAACACAGCAAGACAGAAATGTCGCGTACCTGTTCGAAATAATATATCTTGTGCGGACGCGATGCGGCACTGTCCGTGTGGCATCACCCTATCGCGAATATAACATTGAAACGACGCCTCACAGACCGAAGGAATATCAAAATATATTGAGATATAAATGTTTTAAACTTTAGGAATATCCGAGGATCTGTGAGAAGGCGAAGCACATCTAAGAGCAGGCACAGAAGGGTTCAGTACATTTGGCTAGTATAGTTCAGTGAGGGAAATATCACATCAACTAGTCACCTTCGGGTTTTACAAATAAATGGAATGTATTAACGCAACAACAATATTTGCCATAATAAACTTTCCCAACATAATTACTTCGGAAAAGGATAAGCAGAGCTACACAAGAGAATTTTATAACCTAAAAAATGGCAATCGGCAAATATTGAAGTTACATACAGAAATAGATAAAAGTGAACCCGAAGGCGTGAACGAAGCGACAGTAATTACACACTAAATATTACTAATTTACCTACGAATAGCGGTTGAGCTGAGATCTTGTGTACTAATACAATAATTTATTTTATAATCTACGAAAAATCTATCAAAACTACACCCAAAACTACGTTTTCCAAAAGAAAAAAGAAATTATCCAGCTAATTTTACAACTGCTGGAAAAACAAATTGCAATTATCACTATTAATTAAAAAAAAGTTGTAAAAACCATAGATACTCTATGCCCGGACAATTTGACAGGTGTCAAAAATGCAATCCAAGTCCACAGATAAAACAATAAACGTTTTTCTAACAATAAAAGAACTATTACTTCCGTTACGATTCTATTCCGTTTTAAATTTTTTACTATTCCAAATGATCTCGATATGTAAGTAAATAAAAATTTAAATTTACTTGTAATTGTCTAAAAATTTTGATATTAATCAAATTCGATGAATCCTATCTAAATTGTTTTACACAAAGTTAATAACTACCCACACAGTTAAGTAGTCACAAGGGAGTTCGAATACATTCTGTAGACATTTTTTTATTAAGACAGAAGTAGACTAAGGGCCTGTCCCACCAAATTGTATATTGTCTGATAACAATCCAACATATGTGATGGAAATATCAGATTCTGTTACCCAATCCAGTGACGTCATTTTAAGCTATCAGAGCCTCTATCAGCCAGTGGTGGAACAGGCCCTAATTGAAAATACAGTCTACAGCATACTTTATTTTTACTTACGGAGAATATTTAGAAAAAATCGATTATTAAAATCGTTTTATAACATCGATTAACTTCTTGTATGTAAAATGGGTGGACCATAAAAAACATTGAGAAATTATGTAAATATTTACTATACCGGGATTCAGACATAAATTTTTTTTTTTTATTCAGGAGGGATAAAAAGGAGAAATAACTTGATTTACGTCACATTTAAAAAACAATTGTGTGCGGAGTTTAGACGTGTAACTTATTATATCTTAACTATATAAAACCCCAAGCATTGGTAACTATGAAAAATGTTTTAACATCTCAGTCGTATGTTTGTATATTCAATTTATAACTATAATTCAACACGACATGTGTACGGAAAAACTTCTAACTTGACATTTTGGAATAAAATTCACATTTAAAAAAATCAAGGTTGCCAACATTGAAATATTGTGAAAAATTTGTATGTTTATATAGTATATACGATTTTTAACCATTTGTGCGTTAACTTGTATGAATTCAATAGAAATTAAATATATTAACATTGATGTTATTCGTGTTTTTTTTTTTGGAATTTAGTCATGAAACACAAACATCTGTATTCAATAAGTAAGCTAACTTATGAAGATAAAATTATTTATAACATTGTTACAATTTCTATTGAATTCGATTGATATAGTTTAAAACTCAATTTTACTTATGTAAAATTTCATTCATTTTTATCGACAAAAAACATAAATTTCTCAATACCAAAATGCAATAAAACACCGTACATTAAGTACAAGTTGGCAACCCTAGAGAAGCAAATTACACGATACTCCCGCATTTCCCATTGGTTAGGGACAAATTTTGTCCCATTTGACGTCCCAATGTCCCATGTGAATAGGACGCGTCTATTCCATTATTCATGTACTGGTTGTTCTGAAGTCCTATTAGGAGTTCAACTAACGCGTTGGACGCGCTTTGGGCGTTTAGTAGCTCGTAGATGACGCAGTTGCACTCCGGCTCCGGGGTCTTGGAGGAGGTGGATGTGGAGGCGGAGGTGGAGGTGGATGTGGAGGCGGAGGCGGAGGTGGAGGCGGAGGCGGGGGAGGCGTGCAGGGGGCAGGTGAGCTGCAGGTTGGTGGGGTACTGCACGGGGATGCCGGAGAGGTGGTTGGCGGCGGCGCGCGCGTAGAACACGCAGCCGTGTCCGTCCGCGTCCGGGTAATTAGGGTTGCCGTTGTGCTGGAAAATTATTATTACGTTTAATATGCATTCACGTAGTGTATTTTATACTGAGAGATTTCTTGCAAGTTTTTTATTATAATTTAAAATATGGCAAGAACTGACAATAACATTCATAAGTCACGTGCTTGTCACATTGACACATTTTGTCGATTTTACAAGCGACATTACTAATCGAAAGTGACTTTGTCTGGAGGGGCAGGTCTCCGGAGAACCTCAGCATGATAAGCTGGTTTTTTTGTATTTAATATAACTAAAACATTAATAAAAATAATGGATAAAAGAAAAAAAAAGAAAATATGTATATTTATAATGGGGCGAAATTTTTGAACGATTAAAGTAACTGGCAACCAATAATTTTGAGTACTGGCTGAATGTGCATCGCATGATAGATGTCAAGACGACGATAAAATGACAGATGACAGTATATATACAAAAGGAACTTATTAATGTAGCACAAGGATTACGCAACAAAAAAAGTATAAACTGTGCAAAAAGTGTACGGACTAAGAGTCTATAGATGTTTTTTTTAAATAAAAATAAAAAGCTTACCCATATGAGTAGTTGTGCGGCTGCCAGCTGTCCCGCAGCTGCGGCTGCGCGCAGTGCGAGTGAGCGGTCGTGTGGTGCGGGGGCGCGGGGCGGGGGAGCGGCCAGCGCTCGCACCAGCGCAGGCAGTTGGCCGCGCGCCGCCGCACTGCGCAGCGCCTCGCCAGACACAGGCCCCTCGCTCGAGGATAGGAACGCACGACGCTCGTACTTCAGACGTATCCATCTGACAAAAAGTTATTAAAATCGATATAATGTTGCACAACACTAGTCCAATCCCACTACTGTTTAGTTTAATAAGAATATCGATATCATGCCGCGCAACACTAGCCCGTATGCGACATTGTTTAGTTTCACTTAGATTCCTATGCTATGGAGGTGCGCACACTACTCGGTTTTTAGTTGTACTAAACAGTTGAATTAGCTATGAAACAATTGACAATCGCTCAACAGTTTACGATAGTTTAATCAAAGGTGTGTCCCCGCCCTTATACGTACTATTTTCATATAAAATTCATTTAAATTTGATATCTTTGTACATTTCTTTACAATACTTTGTATAACATTTTAGTACAATATTTCTATGACGACTATACCTACTTTATATACAGCTGTTGGTCTTCCTTGAAAAAAAAATCACAAGTCTAGGAAAATAGATGTCCCATACTATTAATAGCCATGACTGATATATTTAGATCAATTAGCAAGGTTTATAGAGCAAGAAGCATCTCTTAAGTGTCCCAGACACTGTTACATATAAAATAAAAGAAATATAGAGTACCTCTCCTTGTCCTCGCGCGGCGCGTCGTGTGGGGGGCGGGCGTGCGCGCGCAGCTCCGCCTCCCACACCGCGTTGGCGAGCGCGTTGCCCACGCACACCATCACGCTCACGTAACTCAAACTGTTACACAAAACACTTATTACAAACAATTTGTTAAAATTAAAACATTTATTGAACAGTTAAGATACAAATCTATGGTTATAAAGCTTTTTTGTCCGCGACTCCGTCCGCCTGAGATTAAAAAAAGGCTATGTATTCTACCAGACTATGGAGTACATCTATGGCAAATTTCATCGAGATCCATCCATCCAAACTTCCGCTTTTATAAATATGTTTAATGTTTTTATTTCATATCTACGCGGACAAAGTAGCAGGTCGTAACTACGACCTGCTACTATCAGTCATCAGAGTCATATAGTAAAAAATAAACACACTTTTTATGTAGGTTATCAGAAATCAGAGCATATTATTAAATGATTCTTTTTTTTAATAAAGAGCACTACATTTACGACACGCCATAGACTAATTTGGGTTCTTATTATCCGTCCATGTTTTAGTCTTGATTGTAGGGATTTATAGCTTAACATAAGTGCCCCTTATACAGCTACACTGTGTGTACACCTAGCTTTGCCTAATAATGTATTCAAGGAGAAAGGAACTTGTGTGAAACAAAATATTTAATTCAATTTGATATATATTTTTTTCATTCTTTCCTTTCCCGCATCTGTGAAGTTTTAGCCTTTGTGTGCGTGTTGTCCTATACTAATATTATAAAGAAGATATATTTGTATTTCTGTATACATTGGAATAACTCAAAAACTTTTGAACCAATTTAAAAATTCACCATTAATAAGCTATCATTGAGTACCATAGACTATGTATTTAATTATTTTTAACTTCACGCAAATGAGGTTGCGAAAAACTAGTATAAAATATCATTAAATACAGTATTAAAAATTAAAATAGTTAAATAACTTACGGCCACTCATCAAGATCCAGCGAGCGTACACGCGATATATGCGAGCCAAGGTTCCTGTGCACTCCAGAACATTCTATACAGATCAGAATGCCCAGGTTCAAACTCGCCCAGTCCGGATCTGGAATATTCCATATATTTTATTATTAACTTGAACCAAACACAACAATATTTACTCCACTAAGGATTACATATTACTAAAATTAAAGACTACCGAGAGTAGACCTGCCCCCCTAGACAAATTGACTTTTGACTAGTGATATCGCTAATAGAATCGACGAAAGACAAGAAATGTGTCAAAACGTATGATAATGAATGAAATGAAAAAGATTAGAATAGACCAGAATAACTACCTAATTAATCTGGTCTATTTCAGTCTACCCAACTTTAGTCAACTAGGTACATGCATCCATATTAAAAGATATTAAGGCATTTTCCTACAAATTAGGAGGAGGTATAGGAGGTAGGTGAAGATGAGAGGTGTAGATGTAGATGAAAATGAGAGGTGTAGGTGTAGATGTAGGTAAGAGGTGTAGGTGTAGATGTAGATGAGAGGTGTAGGTGAGAGGTGTAGGTGTAGATGTAGGTGAGAGGTGTAGGTAAGAGGTGTAGGTGAGAGGTGTAGGTGTAGATGTCGGTGAGAGGTGTAGGTGTAGATGTAGGTGAGAGGTGCGTACCGGGCGCGCCGCAGTCGCAGCAGCGGTCGTTGCCGGGCACGCGGCGCACGTACTGCGTGGCGCGCACCAGACCTGTGGAGTTCGCGCCCGTCGGCAGCGGCTGCCGGGACGTCTGTGGGAAATACGACACTATTACTATGACAATAAAGTCCAAAATAGTAGATATTATTCAATAAAGACACAATGTCTTATCAAATAGTAATGACAAATTCCTACATGTGGCTGGTGTATACGCTAAATATATGAATTTTATTTCAATGTTTACATTTTACAACACTGTTTAACAATAGATGGAGCTTATTACACTTATAAAACGAGATGGTGTACTATACAAACATTGTTATTGTAGAGAAAAGTACTAATGGAAAAAATTAGATTACTATGTCTCGTCTATGTATAATTAAGTGTCTTCAGACAAATGTTTTTGCGTGTTTCAGTAATGTAAACTCACCCGTCCCTGCAGCGAGGCGAGTATCTGCGCCTCGACGGCGGCCACCCAGGCGTCCCTCTCCGCGGCGGCCGCGCCCCCGCCCCCCGCACCGCCCCCGCCGCCCGCACACACCTCCCAGCGCCAGCGCTTGCCGTCCAAGCTCACTATTGTGAACTCACACGATGTCGCGCTGTCGCCCTCTACAAATAGTAACCAATCTATACTATTATAAAGAGAAAAGATTTTTAATTTTGGATTTCTATAGTCAATGAAAATAATTAAAAAGCTAGAGAATCGAGTCACATATGCCTTGTTATAATTGTTAATTTCACAATTTTTTAAGAGCAGTAGCTAATCTATAGTAATCTTACTAATATTATAAACAAACTTTCACCTGCGACACGAACTAAAAAAATAAAAGTAGTCTATACCGAATTTCATCAAAATCCTTCCAGCCGTTTATTCGACAAACTCTAACAAACAAACATCCATCCATCCAAACTTTCGCTTTTATAATATAAATAAGATAAGAAGTAAGATGTAAAAGTTTAGATGGATATTTGTAAGAGTTTGCTAAAGAGCTAAACGAATCTCCATAAAAAAATTTATATGAATATTCTAGAATACTTAAGCTACTTTTGTTTTTGTTTTATATCTACGCGGACAGAATCGCGGGCGAAAGTTAGTCATATAATAAAAAATAAACACGCACTTTTTGTTATATAGAATCACAGCATATTGCTAAATAATATTTTTTTAAATAAAAAGCCTTACATTTACGACACGCCATAGACTATTTATTTAATTTAAAAGGGTAAATAAATTAGGAAAACCTACGGAAAGGGACAAAAACTACGAAAACGCGACTTTATTTGTACAAAAATGCCTATTACATTGTTTAAACATTCGGGATACATTATTATGAAAACTGAAAAACTAGCACTCGTCTATTTTTCTGTTTTTGGTGACGTCACCAGAAAACTAAAGGTAACTAGGCATTTAATAAAATGGGCAATTATTTTAAAATGAATAGTGTTCATACCATCATCTCCATCTTTCTTAACGCCGCTGCTCTTCATACGGCGATGTCGTTTCTTGACGTGCGGCGTGTCCTTGTCCGCGCCGTTGCTAGACACCTCCGCCTCCGAAGCCAGTGACTGTCTTGACGCTGGCTCCTTCAACGTGTCGAATGCTGACAGTAACGCTTTGTCTGTCGCCCTCGATGGCTTCTCTTTATAACCTATGAGGAAAAAAGTTAATATGAATTTAATAATTGCTTGAGATTTTATTTATAATAAAATATGAATTTTGATGGTTTGAATATTTTTTTATATTAATTGCTTGAAAAGTTCTTTCGATAAATTAAAAGTTAAGAATTAATAGTTTTAAATAATTGTTATAAAAAAATAAAAAAACTTTTCTAAAATATAAATGTATTTTGTAAATCACAATTTTAGTGAATAAATATTAAAAGTACTTATAGTTTTAGCTAAATATCTTTCTAATATTATAAATGCGATAATTTAAAATGGGTGGATGTTAGAGATACCTCCAGATCATATCAACAGGTCTCGACAGATTTTGGCACAGATGTAAAAAATAATCTCGAAAATCACATAAACTACTAATTTTTTTTTTAACTTAGAAATAGTCTATACTAATATTATACAGAGGTAACATTTGTATTTTTGTACGAATTGAAATAACTCGAAATTACTGGGCCGATATCAAAATTTTCACCATTTTCAATTTTTCACCAGCTTCATGTGCGTGAGTAACATAGGCTATATTGCATTATTTTTTCACGTGGATAAAGTCGCGAGCAACAGCTAGCTAATTATATTATAACTAGCTTTCGCCCGCGACTCCGTCCGCGTGGAATTAAAAAACAAGAAAATCAAGTTGCCTATGTGTTCTACCAAAATAACCTCTACATAAATGCCAAATTTCATTGCGATCTGTCCAGCAGTTTAGTCTACAAACTCTAACAAACATCCATCTATCTAAACTTTCGCATTTATAAAATTACTAGCTTTACTACTACGCTCGCGCGGAATTAAAACAAAAAAAGTTAGTAGACTATGTGTTCTCCCAGACTATCCTCTACATCCGTGCCAAATTTCATCGAAATCCGATCAGGCGTTAAGGCTACAAACTCTAACAAACATCCATCCATCCATCTAAATATTCACATTTATAACATTAATATAAAGTATAATATAGTATAAAATTATATAGTATGATTATTCGGTTAAATACATACCAAGTGACAATCCCCCAATGCTGTCATGTATATCATAGTTGGTGTACCCATTGTACCCCGGCACGGTTGTGATGACGGACTTGGAGCCGCGCGGTTTCTGCCCCGGCACCTTCACGGTCACATACTGCAGAGATATCTCTTTGCCGTTCACATCCTCCATATAATCCTGTAATACATAAATGCATATGCACGTGAAATAAAAAAATGAATTGGTTTAAAATGTGTTGCTAGATAGTTCTTAGTATTGCTAGTGACGAAAAAATCTATTTGTCAATCTACAATCGGGCAAATTGGTGGTGTCCCATCTTAAAGGTTACATTTGGAAACGAGATGCGGAACAACAATGAATAGAATTCAGCTTAAATGTGCTTGTACAAAAAAGCATGTTATTGATACACAAAAATCATACTAAATTTGTTACTACTTACATGTAAACTAGGATGATACGTGAGCCTTCCATCATCACATAACGTCACATACTTCTTTTTCCATTCTTTATTTAGCGCTTTACTGCTTTTCTTGTACAAATATCCTTGCTTCAGAGGAATCGCTCTACCGGACCCCAACTCCCCATTCTTCAGTCTATCATCACCTTTCTTTGAAGGTGTGAACAAGTTCGATCTTCTCCGCGACTTTCTCGATGTTGTCGGAGTAGACGAGGGTGTGGGGAGATCTTTTTGGTCTTTTCCCGGATGCAGATTATCCAGGCAGTGTGGCGCTGTGAACTTGACGTTGTTATTCTCTGTTGCGATGGAGACGAGGCCTGATGACGAGCCATGGCTGCCGAGGGAGTTGCCCCACCGGGAGGAGCTGTCGGAACCATTCGTGCTATGGATCTCGACCACGTGGGTGGATGAAATGCCGCTGCTGTTGGAAGACGCATCGAAGGAGGATGCGCCTCTGTGTAAATGATGCGATGACGCTGAGAGTGTGTGATGACCTCGTGGTAGCGAATCCTGGAATTGAAATTGTGCATTTATAAAATAACAATGCTATACAATGCATTATAGATAAGACATTTACGTCTAGTTATTACTACGAAAAATTATTGACAGTTTTTAAAAACTCAAAACCTCACAGTCTTGGTCTAATTATGACTAAAAATTCAAGTCCCGTTTGAAGACAGGAAGTAGCTCGTCATCTAAACTAAGGAAATCCTGAATTACGTAATTTTACTTACATATTTGTGTTACTTAGTTAACTAAGAGTTCCTTCAATTTAACCTCTATCATATTCCCATGGATAATAAAAATGCAAGAAATTAAAAAAAAATACGTGTCACGTATTGATGTTTCACATAACTTTATGACGTCACAAGTTCTATTACGATAACTCTATCAATACTATAGTAACCTGCATTCGATATCAATGACAGATAAGAGAATCTATTACCACGGAGGGACGGCAGGGGAGGGACGTCGTGACAAATCGGGCCGTATCTATAGTTACCGATGTCTCATTCAATACGCCATTTCAATGCCGATTGAATGCAATTATTATGCAAATTATACGGAAATATCGAGTAAACATAACTACGTGATCTATTGAGGAAAATGAGACAATCAAATTTTAATATTAGTAGACCACTGAAATGGTAAAAAATCAGAGAAAAATGGTGCACATCCAATTTCTAAACGATTTCCAAAAAGAAGAAAATTCTCAATTCGTCTGTATGTTGTTTTTTTTTTGTTTCTTTCATTTAGATAGCCAAGTTCAAAATCATTGCAGTGCATGATCTTTTATGTTAGTTTTATATATTACTGTAAGTTTTTTTTAAACATTCTTTGATTAAAATAAAATGATTACTTTCTGATCTGATCATACTGTATTAGTATTTTTAGTTATTACTAGCTTTCGCCCGCGACTCCGTGCGTGTTGAATTAAAAAAAAACAAAAGTGAGCAGCCATTTAGCCTACAAACTCTGACTAACATCCATCCATCCATCTAAACTTTCGCATTTATGATATTAGTAAGAAGTAAGTTTTTAAACCAGTTCACCTTGAACTCAATCCAAATAACATTGATGTGTTTAAAACACATGTTATCTTCATTTTGTTACACCTTGGACTGATTATGTTACATTATGCAACATACCATTTACTTTCAGCATTTACATGCATGGTTAGTCTATCCACCTGTCTCTTTCAGATGTACCCATTCCATCCTATTACCATCTCTTTCTAAATAGGTCAAAGATACATGAACTTCTATAATTTCATGTTAAATGCATTCAACGGAAGTTAAGGCAACATCCTGGTTGCTGATAAAAGTAACAAGGGACTTACTTTCATTATCACAGCCATATCCTTACAACAATATGTCTAAATTATGAATAAGGCTAAAAACCATACAAATATAAATGCTAAAGCTGGGAAAAGTTTGTAACTATACGGGCCTACAATGGCTTGAAGCAATGAATTTTGTCACAGATACAGAATATAGTCTGATAGAACAAATTGGCTACTATTTTTGTTATATAAATCCACAGACAGTAATGTGCTAAAGTTAGTATTTGAATTGTTATAGCAATAAATTATTTACTTAAATAACTACAAGTTTATATTATCACATGAAAAAACTATGAATTGTCTACATGATTAGTTGATTTTCAAGTTTTTTATGTGATAAAATTCCAATGTAATAATAATGGACAGAATAAAAAAACTTGATTACAATAAAAGCTTGTTTACTTTGAAACACCAGCTATGAATTTTTTTCCTGTTCATATACTTTCTTACTACTTCTAGCTGTATGACACTGCATCTTCAAACCCTTTTCTAATAAAGGGTCAACATATCATCTTTTATGCACACAATCCATCCATACATCTTACTAATATTATAAATGTAAACATTTAGATGGATGGATGTTTGGTTTAGTTTGTAGCCTAAACGGCTGAATGGATTTCGAAGACATTTGGTATAGATGTAGAGCATAGTCTGGAAGAACACAAAGGCTATTCACTTTTGTTTTTGTCAAGAGTATGCAAATGGAGTATAAAAATATTTGGAGTATAAAGATAATTTAGAAAGCTAGTATAAAAATAATTTTACTCTCATTATAGCCACAAACACTAAAATTTTGATTATATGTGTAGGATAGAAGCAGGAACAGACAATTCAGGTCAATTAAGTTCCTGCCACCACTGATAACAACTATGCAGAGAATTCTGACAATTGTTAGAATTCACAAAAATATTCTGCTAAAACATATCATGTGTTTAACTATGTTATACTGTTTATAAAGATATTTTTAAAAAGAGTAATTGTTTTTTATTTTTTTATTTTATAGACCTTTAATTATAACATGATTATCATAGTTATCAGAAAAATAATAACTACATGATATCATTTTTAGTATCAATTTTTACAGTGCGTTATAGTAAATGTATTATAATGTTTTTACCATCGATGTGTAGTCGTGTGTTATGCATTTTAAATGCTCACCTTGTACAAAAATGAAGAGTGATTATGGCTGGGTGAGTTGGCAAGAGGCTGCGGAGTGACCGGCCTGGAGCCTGCCAGGCACTGAGACGATGCCGACAGCCTCGTCCCCACGATCTTCTGACACGCTACAAATAAAAAAAAACACTCCAAATCACCACACACATACAAATGCCCCCATTACAAAAACAACACAATTCAATACAATCACTATTTTTAATTCGAAACACGAACTCGAACGGTGAAATTCACGCACATTCAAATTTAGCAGATTTTCGACGGTCGCGCTCCTCGGCTCTTTGGATGTTGTAGCACGAACTGCGACGCCTCAGGCTCGATATCGGCGACAAGTTGGATTTAAATATAAGCGTCTTATCCATATCTCCATTCAGAAATTCAAGCTGTTATTGCAAAAAATTTGAACGCAACAATCCGCAGTCCGGTTTAACGACGCGTCGATGTCAAAAATGTAAACAATAGCGCGAGTGAACAGTGAACGAAAACGAACGGAACGACCGCACCGCTGCGGGTCGGTGTTGCCACTGCGTGCGCTCGATCCTCCCCGCAGCGAGCGTCCGATATCATCGAGCAAGCTATCTATGCACGCACGCAAAACAATCTGTAGTCGCCGGAAAAAACGTAATTGTACTAAACTATTATAATGAAATAGGGATAATAGTTAATCAATGGGCTAGTTACTTTGTCCTAATTTTAGAAGAAATGTTTTCGAACAGTCAACAAAGTTTTTTACGGGAGACAGGTTTTAGAATACCAATTATTTATGTAAAGGTACTTACCATCTTGGAACACCCGTTCGACATTTAAGCCGTACGTCGCACACGTTTCGTAGTAAGAACATCTTCGCAGTTCATTCGTCATCTTACGAGCTCGGTTATCGTCTACTACTCGTGGACTACTTTCACTTATGGCATCTGGAATGGTAAGTGATGATTTAATAGGATCGGAACATGAGATACTATAAAATTATGTTTTTTTGATTCAATCATTAAAAATGCAAGCAATTATAATGTAACTTGTAGTTACACTGACCTTGAGTTCCGACCAGTATTATTGGAATTTCCGCCGAATTCCTATAATGAGACATTTTATTGAAGTACGTCGAAACTGTTTTGTAACTAATTTCGTTTTCAAGACTAAACACGAAGATCACCGCATCCACCCAGGCTGTAAACTGTAACAAACAAAAATAACTTTACGTTACATACGTACGTTTTACAGTTTTTTTTTTAGTTTTGTACTATTTGATATATAGAGACTTTTCGCAAAAGAAAAAACGCACCCTACTTTTGTCGCTAAAATCACGAGGGGTGGTTCGTACAAACGTGGGGGTTTGTTAAGTAAAGGGTTAAGTTACGTAGATTAAATGTGACTACTAACATGATTAATATTGTGTCAGAAAATTAGCAAAAGAAAATGTCTGAAACAGTTTTATATCAAAACATTGCAGGTTTTCGCAAGAATTTTCTTCTAACTAATATAAATTTACTCAAGCTGATAGCTGACAAACTGTATGAATAACTCAGATTCCACTTGAATGGCAGTGCGTAGGAGGGTGTCACCCTTTTATTATGAACAACAATTGAGTATAGAAGACTCGTCACTCAGGAGAACATTACACCTAGGAAAAACTAAAGTATGAAATATTCAAATTATTTACAACTTGAAGAAACCGTTAAAAGAAATGATACAGATGTAACGAATAGCTATACAATTTAAATTCATAAACGATTTCATAAAAAAATATGTATGTTCAAAGAAATAAATGATTAAGAAGCGTTAGTCGTTTTGAGTGCGAGCATAAAAAAAGATGCTTTTTTGCTATTTTTACTCAAGTTACAATAATTTGATAAATTTTAACATTACAAGCAATATGTATGTTAAAAATACCTTAATTCACTTATTTGAGTTAAAATTGGTCAAAAAGTCGCAGTTTTTCTAAAATAGTAAATAGACTTGTATCTCTCCTCTTTGTTTTTTTATATTTTCAACACGCATATGATGATGTGGTACTGTCAAAAAAGTCTAATTTCAGTTGCAAGCATGACCATCACATTTTTTAGATATTCACTAAAGAGGGCAATTACAGTATGCCCAGTAAGATAACTTCACTTATCGTACGCAACACAAGTATATCTTGATTTAAATAATTAATAGTTTCCTACATTACGTTTTCAGTTTATTTACACACGTACAATTTATCGCTTTATTATCTCCAGAAAAACCAAAAGACTAGGAAACTTGTATAAAAATTTTACAATAAACAATGAAACTTTCTTAACGCTTACCGTTCGATATGTACATTTCACAACAGTTTGAATATTTACATAACTTGTTACTTGAACAATGTTTAAAAAATCGAATAAAGGATAAATAATGTAGGGTAGCGTGTAGGGCAGAGCTCTGACGGCGACTGGGCGGGCGGGCGGCTCGGCCAGATACCGCGAAACCTTCGACATTTCCATTTCACTCGCACAAACCGAACATACGCTTGTGAATGAGACAGGTTCACTGCATGCATTTATTCCCGAACCTTGCAATTCAACATATACATTATGTACATTTTCACTGTAAATGCACATGTAATAAACTGGCTGAATATTGGTAGAGTAGATATCTCTAACTACTCCTGGGGAAATACGCAAGCATTTTACGTAGAGTTACAAGTCTTTATGAATTTTGCAATAACAATTGAGCATAAAGTTCGTTTTTTTTAATCATAGTGTTTATGAAGTAACAGAAATAACTGTATATAAAATTATAATCTCGGGTCGATTAAGTATATATTTAGATCAAATTATAGATCGTGACCTATTCCTACAATGTTGAGTTTTTACCCTATTTAAAATACCATAGTCAGCGATAGTAGCACTATTATAAGATCAATACAAAGATAAACTCGTGTACATTCTTTATTGAACGGTTTTTACGATTCTGGTGATAGTGTATCAAAGAATTATGTCATTTCAGGCCATTGAAAAAACATTTTAATCATAATTATAATGTAACAACGTGGACCGATTTAAAAACCTTGCCACAATGTTAAAATAATAAAATATTAATTAAAAGATAAATAAACTAACAAAAGAATCCTTTTCAAATTACACTCCAATGCAAATTTTTAATTTTACTTAGTACCGTGGAGATATGGTGATCTTTATTCTAAATTTTGAATGATGTAATAAAAATGAAAGTTGAAAGTCCAACCAGATTCAAGTACTATGCGTCAATCTTAACATTCGATGGTTCTATGTTGCATTCAATAAGTTATTTGTTATTTATTGTTCACTTATTTGTTATTTATTGTACACTAGCCTTAAATTTTATCAAAATCCGTTCAGCCGTTTAGGCTATAAACTCTAACAAACATCGATCCTACCATCTAAACTTTCGCATTTATAATATTAGTATGATTTATTGAAAAAATACTACAAGATTATATTTCTAGTGAATCACGATAAGATTGGCAAAAACCTAAGTATTGATAAAAATTACTTATCTTTATATACGCAAGAATGCCTGAACATACGCAACAATTTAGAGGTTAGTAATAGATGATGGATCCCTAATTTTAGTTAAGTTTATTTTATTTACATGGAAATAATAAAAACATATAGATCTTCTTCGCATTAGTCAAAAGAGTTACAAGTACTTTAAACTAAAAAGTAAATTGAACATTCTTCAATATCAATGGCTAGAGTTAGGAAACGAAATTACTAGGAAATAATTGAACTGTGAAGTTTGCGTGCAACACGTTGTAGTCTTGACATTCGTCGTAATTTTTATAACGACCGAGTTTAGACATACCAGACCAAAGTACTGAACGTTCATTGCCCATTTTAACTGAAGTTGTCGCCATCAAATCTGTAAGTCCACATAAAACTGTTTAGCAGTTGTGTGGATCTTTCACGTGATATGAACCAACTTGTTAATGCAATTAGTACGAAGTTGAAGTTTCAGTTATTTAAGAGAGGACTTAAGAAACCAAAACTCTCGAAAATAAGTTTTTTTTACTAGCATTTTGTTGGTCCCCGAGATTTGTCTACACTTCTTTGTTAAGGGTAGTAATCTCCAATTTCCTATGAGTTAATTTTGATTATTAACTAGTGAAACTGTTGATCGAAGCGTACGATTTGAATAATTGCAGTAATAACTCGAGACTGGTGTGGCCGTTGTGCAGAGGAAGCGCCCGCTGCGTGCGTGCGGCGCGGCGTCAGCTAGCGCGATCTCAATTATTCCGTCATTGTTCCGCGCCATTCCTCTCGTTACCTCCTCCGAGTATTGTTCCCAAAATAAACTTTTATACGTTCGCATATAATTTGCTAACTGTTCCGGTGCATTGTGCTATTGTTTTCTTGTTCGAAGTATTGTTTTGGCTATCGGTTAAAAATTTTTTGTTTTACAAAAAATTTGCAAAATATTTACAGAGTTTACTAAACATAAGAAAAAATCTCCACCTCTTTTCAATAATAATAATAATGTAATTGGCGTATACGTATGGTCAATTAAAAAATTCTAGTAGCTTTTAAATTCCAAAGCTTCGTCAATGTGTTTGTTTTTAATTCAGGATCGCTAAAACATTTAAATCATCTAAACACAGGCTTAGATTATCATATAGTACTTATACCAACTCATCTGCAGTCTACTCAACGTGCACGTCCTCACGATAGCTTGAGCACATCGACGAGACCGATTCGATGCTTTTGTTGTCTGGTTATAAGTAATCGAGAACAGGTTTTCAAGCCCCCGCAAGGCTAGGGTGCCAGCCGAACAAAAGAACTCGAGTTATCTATACTGTTACTTGTTTTGTTCACTACTTTTTTTAACCAGCATGAATAGGGTTGAGAATACTACTTGAATAGGTAACTTAATACCGAAACGTGATCCTTGCGATGTTAAAACAAATGTATTGTTGGACTTAACCACCGCGGCAATATAACGTATGTGCGTAGTTATTTAGTTGTCCGACTTCCGTTAACCGAATCAATGAAAACAATCAATCGCGACTGGTTTTAGTACAATTACGCTAACAAATCATATTTGTCACTTGTAAGTCTTCATTATTGACGTCAAATCAAAACCGTATACTGAATCTGAATCTTTATTGACATATGATTGGTGTTTTGTATTGATATGATAAAAAATATGTAAAATATTTTTACAATATAAATTCATAGTAAAAAAACACATGAGTAAAATAAGACTCACAAATTCCTCTGGGATTTCAGAAAATAAAACGGAGTGCGTAATTATGGTCTAATTAAACATCCGAATTCTAATTAAATTGTCTCCGGCCGGCTGAGTTGGTACGATTGTCTAAATGGTATTCGCACATAGCGAGTTGCATAATTTTAAACCTTATGTCCTTGTGCATAAATGCAAAATGTATTTTAAACAATACTTGGAATGATGGCAAGGGAACTTTATGAGTTAATTTTCTTGAAAACAGCAGCGAAGTACCAATGTTACATTCCTAAGTTCATCAATATCGTAATCAGGAGATTTATACAATAACATGAGTTTATATAAAAATCGTACACATTAAATGTTAAATTTACCACAAATTAGGGCAAACTTATAGTGACGACACATAGACCGAATGAAATTTGAGGGCTGCAATAATTATCAACGAATGAATGATTTTATAACAGAAGTCAAAATATATCCATATTCTTTACATAGTGACAGATGTTTTTACAAAAAAAAATATTTAATTGCTTTACTGATAGAATGTTATCAATCAGAAATACTGAATAGGTTTTAATACAACAGCATTTCTTGTTATATTAAAGACTCCAGTCGATGTCATGGAAATAAAATATAAATTATTTCTACCACGCTTCTGGAGTGTAGTTTAATAAATTCAGTTCGGTGACATCAACATGACAAAAAAACTTAAACCAGTGAAGTTAAGCTATAAAACAAAATGGCGCCTAAGTTAAAAACAAGTGCTCGAGTACTTTACAAATTCCCTAGACATCGTTTCTTACTTAAGTGGGACAAATCAGGGAAAATCCGAAATGGGAAACCCGATTTTATCGAGTTACAAAACTTTTCAAGCAACGCTGTTGGGGTCGATAATGTGTTGATAGAGGGCGCAGTAGAAATGAATGTCACAGGATGTTCTAGAACATTTTAAAATTATGTTCAGTAATCTCCGTAAATCAACACGTC